AAAATGAAAAGATAGAGAATAAAAGGAAAACATGGAACTGTCTTGCTTCGCACAATGTTACCAATCACTGTATTTTTCACACAGGGTTATTATTATGGTTTTTTCAATTTCCAAGTTAAAAATAGGTAAGAGTATGGTCATTGCATGAAAGGTATCTCAAAGACTGAATATTTTACACTGATGCACATTTACTGATGACCTTTCACTTTTTTATGTGATTGAATAAATATCGCTTGATAAATAACACATCGTAGACAAGAAACATTTAAAAATGTAGTATAAATTCTATATATGGCAGTCCAGAGACAGATAAACTATGGAGTATCTGTCAAGCTAGATAGATTGAATTAGGCAGAAATACAAGCTTTTGACTCAGTATTGATTAACATTTCTAAATACATTTTACTCTCCAAAGACCAGGATAAGGGAGGACTATTTGCAAACACTGCCTCTGCCTACCTACTAAGGATAGGGTAGTTAATTAGATTCTGCATCTGACTTCTACTAGGTATGAGAAACTTCTTCAACATGGTGGAGAGAGCTGTGAAGTAAACCAAGATAATGTAATGGCTTTCATAAAAAATGTCTATTGCCTTAAACAGTATTTCTTCCTGTGGTGACCATATGCCTCATAAAGGTGTAGCTCCCTAATGTGCTCATGCACCATTTCAAATAACATCCAGGCACAGCACATGCACAGGGAAGGACCAGCTCAGAAGGAAGCAGGGCTGGGATATGACAGCTGATTAACAAGTGCAGGTAGTCAACACTAAATAAGGACACACCAACCAGGGAATTTTTTTAATTCCCTAAACCTGTTGATGGGTGTGAGTTGCTCCTCTGGAGAAGCATGCCCTTCTTCCTGACAGCCTCCTGATAACCACTGTTATGTAAATCTTTGTGCCCAGATATCAAGTTTAGCCCACTACTAGTGATATGCTGGATTTATTATTGTTTTCAGTTGGGTAATTGTACCTCTGATTTGCATTACTTGCCATTTTGTTATCCTCAAATAAGTTGTTGATCCCCAAAACTATTGACTGGTGCTGTCTGTTACCATGTATGGAACCTAGAGCATGGCAGGGATTCCTTAAGCCCCTACGATGATGAATATATTATGGAATGTACTGCATGGCCCCAACAAAATGCACAGTTAAAGCTGGATGAAAAGACCCTAAAGATCTGAGAGGAGATGCACAAGTAGTCAAAGATGGACATCACTCAGGAAAATTGCTTCTTGTTAGATGTTTTGAAAATGGCTGTGCTCTGGTACCCAGGAGCAAAGAATGTTTAGTGACTATGCTCTAATCTGGAGTTCAGAGATCTACAGTCAGTTCTTCAACATGCACCAGGCTTTGTGCACAATTTTGTGCAAATAATTAGGTTTCCAAGATCCCTAGAGTTCCCATTCTTTAAAATTAGTGGGAAAAAATTTTTTTCCTTGGTTTTACAAAGAATGAGTTCAGAATTTCACAATCATTTAGCTTTTATGGCAATGAAGACCAGAGACAAAGAACATGCAGAGGGGGAAGTGGTTGCAGGATACCGAGCAGATAGGCTTCATCCTACCTATCTTTATAAGTCTGAAATACTTTACTCTGGCTTCTAACCCAATGATGCTTTCTTATTTGGTGTGGTGAAATAAGGATTTTAGAATACTGTTCACCGGACCTGTATGAGGTAGATGTTTTTTATGAAAGACACTGTATCCTAATGTGCTTAATTTTTCTACTGGCATAAGTGCAACATTAGGTGATCAGCTGTGTATATCATCTATGTCCCAGCTCACATAATCTTAGAATCATCAAATGGTTTGGCTTGGAAGAGACCTTAAAGATCATCTTATTACAAATCCCTGCCATGGTAGGAACACCTTCCACTAGACCAGGTTACTCAGGGCCCCATTCAGCCTTGAACACCTCCAAGGATGGGGAGTCCACAATACCTCTAGGCAACTTGTTCCAGTGCCTCACCACCCTTACAGTAAAGAATTTCTTCCTAATATTTAGTCTAAACTTTCCCTCCTTCAGCTTAAGGCCATTCTCTCTTGTCCTCATCCTGTCCCAACAGGCCCTTGTGAAGAGTCCCTCTCCAGCCTTGTCATAGGCCCCCTTCACCTACTGGAAGGTGGTATAAGTTCTCCACGGAGCCTCTTCCTCTCCAAACTGAACAGCCCCAACTCTCTCAGCCTGTCTTTGTAGGAAAGATGTCCAAGCCTTGTGACCAACTTAGTGGCCCTCCTCTGGACTTTTTTCAACAGGTCCATGACTTTCTTACATTGGAGGCTCTTCATCTGTGTTCAATCCACCTTTAGAAGGAATGCCAAAAGGAATAAGTAGAAAGGTAAAAAAATAACTCCCCAGTTAGAAAGCTCCAAGGAGACTGCTGAAACAATTACATACTTCATACTGGGAATGAAGTGTTTATGTTGGGAATAACTTGTCAGGAAATAGACCCTTCAGTGATCTCTGTCAGCAAACCAAATTACCTGGTTCTATGGAGGTACATGAGAGAATTTGCCTCTTCCATTATAAAGCAAAGGAGGAAAAGATTATAATTCCAAAGGTCTGTTTTGTTTTAAAATCTCCTTGTGTCTTAAATATTTTGTGGTTTATTAAATAAATGGAAAGAAAGAAACAAAAGGGGAGGGGGAAAAGAAAGGAAAAAAGGAAGAATACTTTGCATTAAAGGAGCCGCCTTTGGGAGCTCCTTTCTCAGGAGCTTCCTGAGAAGCAAAAAATGCAGAACTTAAGCCTACTTTAGTCATGTTCAATGACTAAATGAGGAAATATGGATAGACTGAAACTATCACCAAATTTAAATATGAGGATTTGTGTTTTTTCAGCACATGACTCACAGAGGTCTGAGACTTGAGGTTATGTTCAGTCAGACTTGGCTGAGAACAAACTCATTGCCAGTTTTCTTCTAATTAGGACAAAATCCTTGTTTCATATGGAAATTTCCTGGCTCACATTTAAGATCACGGAGCAAGAAATAATGTGTCACAAGTGTGAAGTAGTGTTTAATAAATGGGACAGTACACTCTGTATTGCTGCAGACTCCAAGCCTGTGCTAGAAAAGGTTTGTCATGCCTATGTTTGCATCTTTTCTGCAATGCAGGTACCAGGTACTAAGGCAATGTCTGCCACTTCAGTACCGATATGGCAGGTTTTCCATGTGCGAGACACTGGATTATTATATTAATTATTGGCTTGGACCAACTCAAGTGTGTGTGGCGGGGGCGGGGGGAAAGGGACAGGTCAAATTTGACAAAAGTGAGGCAATGCCCTGTCCCATATCTCAGCCCCTGGGAGCCTCCTGGCTGACCCCAGGGCAGCTTTCAGTCAGAGGCAGCCCAGGAGCACTGCCCACACTACACCCAAGAGCCCCAGAATGGTCAGTGGGATGAAAATCCCACATGGGAGGGGTGGCCACAGGGGGCCAGAGCAGATAAAACTGAAGATGTGTGGTCTCCACATGTTTGAACACTTCATCTTCTAGACTCCTAAAGTTGGATCTATGTGGGATGTAGGGATAGTTGCTATATTTCTCTTTTACTCTGTCTGTCTTTACTTCTTCTTCTCCTTACTCCTTTCTTAATATTTTGGGTATCTTGAGACTGGATGGGTTGGATTTTGCTAAGTTGTATGTGTTAGCATATGCTAAGTCAATGCTTTGTGAAACGTTTTTTTGGTGGAATGTTACCCTTTAAACTTTTGCCAAGTGCTCTTACTTTCTAAAGTTTACCAGTAAAAGTACCCTCTGTGAAAATGTGTTCAGCTTTTCTCCTATGCACTCTCTAAAGCGTTTAAAAAGTCAAAAGCTCTTCCACTATGTCCAGAGGGAGGATGTTGTTGGAGATTGTATATTTTTAAAGTAAAACCCCTTCATTGAGCTTGTAGCTCAAGGCCTGGGGTCTTACACCAGGTTGCAAATTTAGAGAAAGATTCCACGAACTAGAGACAGTGACAACATTTTCACAATTATGTGTAATTGCTTCTCTCACACTGTATTCAAGGCCAGATGCTGAAAGGTACTTAGGCTAATGTAGATTTACTTGGGGAGTATTATAATACTTTACTAGCACTTACCAATCTGGTTTGTACATGGTATAGCTCTGTATGCCTTCCTCCCCCAGTCTCTCTTATTGCCTTCATTAGTAAAGCTGTATTCAGTCACGTTTGGTGCTCAGGTTGGTTAGACATAACTGCTCAAATCTCAAATCTACTCCAATACCCAGTCTTTTAAGGTTAAGCTTTACTCAGCTTTCTTCTTCTCTCTCCTGTTTTAACTAAACCATATAGCCAATATGAGTATTAAATGATCTCTACTCTCAGCATCAGCTAGAGGAATTGGCTACTGGACTGCAGCAAGAAATCCTTGGGGCAGTGGGGGTGCTTAGCACTCTATTGTCTTTGCACCAGTACAGACATGCCTAGGCTTGATTTTATTTGTAATTCATGTAGGTCCTATTCACTGTGCTGCAAATTCATCCTTTTATGATATTTCATTATTTCCTCTACCTGTGAAGAATTATTATTCCATAACCTCTTCAGCATATTCTCGTACACACTTTCACTCAGATGCCTATCAGAGATGGCATTTCTTTTAAGAGGAGAATTTCTTTGTGTGTTTTCCTTTGTCTCTCTCAGTTTTGAGTCAATATTACAGTGTACAAATTGTTACAAATGGAGGAACAATGCTACCTAGAATCCAGGAGATGGCAGTAGTTGCCAATAATTCATTTGTAAAATAAGCCTATTTACGAAAGCTGAAAAATAAAGATATTTACCCTCAGAGGAAAGCCAAACTGTATCTGCATGTGTCTAAATTATTACAATATAATGAATAATTAGTTTTATTTATAAGTTCTTAAATTCTAAATTAGGCTAGGAAGTAGAACTTGCAAATACATATGTTATGTATGAATATGAATTTGCCCTAACATATGAATTATACATATGAATTTGCCCTAACACAGATTTTTTTTTTTAATCCAGCTATTAATATTACACAACCAAGTTTCAGTGGCACAGATGTCTTTGGCTATACCTCATTCCTAGCTTATTCTACAATCCCAAATATCATCTTCTACTATGAATTTCGCTTGAAATTTCAGTTGGCAAACCACAACTCAGCTTTACAAGATAACCTGATTTTTTTCACTGGACAGAAGGGCCAAGGTAAGCTTTATTTGTATTACCTATACTTACATGCTTTCAAATACTCATTAGACAAGTAGGATAAAATAAAAGTATGTACAGGTTTTTCTTGGTTCTTTTTAGGATATAATTTTTTTAGGGGGAAAAAAATCTCTTCAATAATTTAATGTTTTGTAAAGACACAGTAATTCAATCATCTTGTCTAAATGTTTTTTTTCATTATGGAGAAATATAACTGCTTCCAGTAATTAAAGTTAACAGTTAATTTGACACTTGAGGTAGCATATTTCTAGCATATTTCTGAACAGAAGAAATGGAAAACAAAGTTCTCTCTTGTCAGTCGTACACATAACTTTCATTATTGATCACATGTATTTGGTGTGCAATCTTGAGATGCTGCCTCAAACCTTCTTCCACTGATATTTACTTGATTGGAAAATCCATCTGTCTATCCAACATGCCACAGCCACCCTGCTGTGTGTCTCAAATGACCTGCCACAGGGACAGCCATGAATTGCTGCTGTTGTCACAATGGTTCAGCTTCCAAGACCCACAGTACTCAGCACTGAAACCCAACCTTGCAGCAGCTAGCTTTGGGCTCCGTGTTACTTATGTCAAATGAGAGATCCTAACCCCTGAGACGACTCAATGCAAGTTAACCCAAGATAGCTATGAATAAGTTGTGCCCCAGTCTGTATAGCAAAGCATTCAACTTGATCTGATTAACATAGCTGAGAAGCAAGTTACATAAATCTACTTACAGAATTTGTGTCAAGATTTTAGCAACACTTAAGGTATCTCTTCACAACATCACTCTGGGGCAGGTTGCATGGCATCAGAACTGCAATGGGCTAAAATAGAAATACTACTTGTGTTCTGTCCATCTTAGCATTACTCCACAAAGAAGCTATAATATTGATGAAAGTTGGGAAAAATCTAATGAAAATTTAATGCAGATATAAAGCAGTCAGAGTAGAAACTACTTTATTCTTCATAGATCATAAGAAGCAAGTAACTTATTTTTACCTTATTTCTGCAATTGGAGTGTGACCTAACTTTTGGGTTTGGAGTTGTCAACAATGGGGTTGTTGAAGTCTAGGAGGGAGGTTTGGTGATGTGTCTTTAGGTCTAAACCCAACACAGATGGAGAGTGATTTAGATATATAAATATGAGTCTCTGCTACCATAGTAGATGTTTTACCATATCTAAAACATCACATGAGTTTGGCAAATATGGCCCATGAGTTACAGAAACCCAATGCTTATGCTGAACAGTAGCAGAAAATTAATACTTCAGGAGAATGAAAGAGGAGGGAATTTATTATTATTAGCAGTTTTAAGATACTGAGCTCCCAAAATACATCATTAAAAATAATTTTGGGGGAGGCAGGATGCAATAACATATATATCTAAAAAAACAATTGCAGTACATTACATCAGAAGGATACAGGGTATTCTCCATTTGCTATGTTAATACATTCGATATTTTCTTAGGTCTTGGTTTCTGTTAATTTTCATTACTCAAGTTCCTGCACCCCCTGGTGCTTCTTCCCCTTTCTCCCTGTGGTAAACTTCCAAGAATCAGGCTGTTAGTTTGCAATGCAAACTAAGACTTGTTAGCTTAGAACGGCTCAGCAGTTTACCTATCTGTGATATAATTCAGTCTGCTACTTTTCATTTGCAAAGATCCTGTCAAATTTAGCTAGTGCAGCTCAGCTAATCAGCTGTACTTCAGTGTGCTATGTTTCCTTGGTACGGAACATTTACTTAATTTATCAGGTTGATTACCCAAATTAGCCCAACATAAATAGGTACTAAACCATGGCGAGCGTATTTCAACTCAAAACTTAGCTCTGCCCCTGTCTCTGTGTGAATCAGATTTTTGTTAAGTTTTCTTCCAAACTTCAGCAAAACACGGTCAGATACGTGTGATACTTCTTACTGTACTACATTCACACCATTTAAACTACATCCACATGCCATATTTTATTCCTGGAATAGTCACCACTCACTCCCAGGCAGCTTTTCTTTTCATTTACTAATAACTTATTGGTGTGGGCAAAGGAAATATTGTCTTTCTTTTTTGAGTGGCTGAGTAGAAATGGTGTGTAGAGTTGAAGTTACCTAAAACATTTCCATCTAGTAATTTAGAAAACAAGTGTTCAGAAGCCAGTGTCCCCATCACTAAATTTTTATAAGAATAGTACACAACTCTGTTGTAATACAAACACAAAGGAATCTTTAGAACATTTTTTTCAACAACAAGAACGCACCACATTCAGATATGTTTCTTCAACCTTGGGAACTGAATTTCAGACACCTGTTTGAAACATTTCTAATTGTAGGAAATGTAACCAAACAAAAATTATACCAATTAGTCCATTGCCTTTGCTCCACGTAGAGCAAATGCAAATATGAAATGTAGAACACCAGTGGTGTAAAATAATGTGATTTTTTTTTTTGAGTTACATTAATCAAAAGGGAACACCAAAAAAATTGCTTAAAAATATAAAATATGCTGCAGTAAAATTTGTCTTGAATTTGCCTGCAGGGTGTACACTGTATTCTCCAAGTGATCGTGGAGTGTAGGTCTTTCAATAATTAGCTGACCTGAGTTTTAAAAGAAAAAACTTACTGGTGTCATTTTTATTAATGAGATTTACTAGCATTCTAGGCTTATTATGCAGTTGTTAGGCAGAAACCCGGCTTTTTGTTACTTTGCATATAGTTTGTGTGTGTGTGTGAACACTGCAGTGCAGTAATAATGCATTTCTGCATCCCCTTGACAAATGATGGGTGGGCAGCAGCACACCACAGGCATTGATGTCATGGCTAACCTCTTGTGAGTTGCTATCAAATTCTATCCCAATATACATGGTTAAAGTTAAAAATTGTTTAATTTATGCAGACTCTTAACATTATATTATTCTGCCCCAGCCCTGGCAGTGTTCAAGGCCAGGCTGGATAAGGCCTTGAGCAACCTGATCTAGTGGAAGGTGTCACTGCCCATGGCAGGGGGGAATGGGACTAGAGGACCTTTAAGGTTCCTTCTGACCCCTTAGCATGCTATGATTCCATGATTATCTTCACCATATCATTTTTGTAGAGTCCTGACACTGTTACATTTCTTTAATGTACTTCCATTTCCAAGAAAGCATTTTAAAAATTCAGAGCATTTTAAGTCACGGTTTGTCTTTAATGTGCTTCCCCTAGTTTTGCAGGTCAAAACATGTAAGTACTTGTAGACACTGTTGAAAATAGAAACTTTAGTAATGATTTTTTTAAATAATAGTTATTTTCAGTTTGGAAATCCTTCACTGGTAATGTGCCAGTTTAGCTGAAAGCAATGGAATTTCATTCAGTCATGAACAAATAATTGTAATAAAAAATGAATAGTTAGTGTTCTAATACAACAGGATGTAGCTGCACACTTTCTACAGAGGCAGTGCATTCATAGTCTTTGGAATAAGATTTTCTTTTCCTATTTATTCCGGTTGCATCAAAATAGTAACTGTACAGCAAAAACAAACTTCTGTATAGAAAAAGCACTCCCTGCCCCCCACATTGCTAATGCAGCATGTTCATTTATAGAATATGAGATAAGGGGAATAGGGCATTTTTGGTCGTGAAACAGCAATATGCAGAATTTCAGTGGGAGGACAATATACAGGTATCATTGTTTCTTGGGGAAAAGCCTGTTCTATCTTTTGCAAATGAAGCAAATTTCCCATGCATTTGAGGCAGGGGCATCAAGAGACATATGAAATGAGGGTCACTATTTGATACTGGAAGAACAAATAGGAAGAGACCTTCCCAGAAACAAATACAAAATGAGATTGCCTTATGAAAACAGAAGAAAATATCAAACAAAGCACAGTGTGCAGGCATGAAATTGAGCACTGAATTGCTTGGATTCACAGGAGACTTCTAAAAATAAATGGATGGCTTTGAATTTCAATTCAGGACATCCTAATTCAAGAGTGAGAACATTTTTCTCCTTCACCATTTTTTTGTATCGTGGTTCTTTTACTATGCAAAGTTTATATACAAAAGGGTGGGATTACTAAACAGAAACAAGTTGATAATGTTTTCTCTAAGCAATGGGTGTTCCACTCTTGCCTGCATGAGAGATTGAATTCTCTTCAAAGACGCCAGTGTAAAAATGTGTTTACTTGGACAACCGGGAACAGTTCCGAGAATTGAACTCAGTTCCAAGGACTGAATTCTTGCTCATGGGCTTTAAGTCAGACTTAAAATCATCAAATGAGATTTTACAGTATGGTGATTGAAAAACACAACTGCAATTATATTTATATAGCATATAAATATAAAGAAATTAAATAGTTTACTTCAAATTTGAAAATTGATGGGTTCTAACCCAAAATTTAGAAGGACTTTAGAGAATTAAAGCACATGGCTGTTCTGACCAGAGAAATACCAGTAATGAACATTCTAGAGCCTCCCTAATCAGGGGTAGGTACAATAAAGTCTCCAGGTGCTACTGAGTCAAGGGCATCAGATGGAGCTTGACAGAAGCTGCTAGAGCTTCTCCAGGCACATATTCCTGACACTCCCCTTGCCTCACAGAAGTAGGTGTCTGCAGCTTTTGAAGCTGTTAAAGTACCTAACATGAAAGCTGAAAGCATACTGGAATAGGATTAAGTCAGGGCCTGTTCTCACATGCAACTTGAAAATTCAATTATTTGGGTTTTTTTAGAGTTTGGAAAAAGTTGAAAATTTATTTGTGTTCCAAGGGGAAGGAACAGCAATGACTTCTAAATCCACCACTGTCAACAGGTTTTGTGGATGCCATAACTTAACTGCAGTGTGAAAAAGATCTCTCCTTAAAAAGCCTATAAATGTTTAAAACCTCTGCAGTTTCTATTTTAAATTCACAAAAATACTGGAACTAGTATTACAAGTTAGGCAGAGAACATTAGAAATACTTAAGCATCTTAAAACTTTCCTGGGTAAAATTATGCCGAACTCCTATCTTTTCATTGAATTTCAAGAATATTTTGTGTACTGGTATTCACTAAATCCTGGAATAAGTAGTTATTATTTTGTTATGTTTTCAGGTCTGAATGGAGATGATTTCTTGGAGTTAGGCCTCCGTAATGGGAGAGTGGTATATAGCTACAATCTAGGTTCTGGCACAGCAACAATCATCAGCAAGGCACTTGATCTGACACTCCATATTCATGTCATCCATCTTGGCAGAAATCTCCAAAAAGGCTGGCTGAAGGTAAAAAAAAGTAATTCCTTTAGAAGGAAAGTGTTCTCTGTATTTTTTCACATCTTATATGGGAAGATTAAAAATTATTTCTATGTTTCTCTGTAAACTTGGCAAGACTGTCTTCCTTAGGACTTTCTAAATAAGATAAATTCCTTTGTTGTAACAAATATGAATGTCTCATTGACAGGTGGATGATCAGAAGAATAAAACTGTCACTTCTCCTGGGAGGCTGGTTGGACTCAATGTCTTCAGTCAGTTTTATTTAGGAGGTTATCGTGAGTATACTCCAGAACTCCTACCAAAGGGACCCAGATTTAAGAATGGCTTTCAAGGTAAAGATTACACCATTTTCAATTCCTTTTAGAATATGTGTTAGATTGTTTTAGTTGCCTTTAAATGAAAGATATAAAATCTCTGTCTTATCAGGAAACAATCTGGGATTTCCTTAGCTGAAATTCCTGTGGCTTTTTCATTATTTCACTACGATAGCCTAAGAAACATGACGCAAAAAGAGTCTTTACTAAATATTTTTAATACTTTCTGTTTCTGCTGAAAATGGAAGTTTGCCATTATATAATCTCCTCTTGTGTGTCCCCGTTCTACAACATCCCTTCAGAAGGACTTCCTTTCCCTGTAGTAGTTTAGATTCTCTTCCCACTGTGACTGGCAGTGCTAGTCTGGGTAATAGCTTTTGTGCTGAAACCTTCTTTCTGATAGGACACCATGAAATCTGATTTTTTTTCCCTAACATTATGATCTAGGTCTCCAGACAGGACCTAAGTAATTCCTCTTGGGAATCGTCTTAGAATCTAACAGATACTAATTTCTGCCTCAAAACTAATATTTGAAGCTTTGTAGAAATCTGACTTCAACTCCTACCAGATCAGCAGTGATGCAAAGGATTTGTTTGTGACACTTTATTTTCATTCCTTATCCCCTTAGAAACAATGTCTTTGATATTTGTGAGGTAAACTTCAATTTGTTTTAAGGACTGGAAAGCCTTTCAAATTAAAAGTAAACATTTTGCAATAGTAACACAAAGTCTGAGTTCTCAGTTATAAAACTGGGGGCACATTATCAAAGACAAGCATAGCAATAAAATTCACTTTCATACACTACTACACTCCATTTGCACTAAGACCATGTAACTGCCTATTTTCCAACCATCACCTTACTTCTTTTTCTTACACAGAAATTTTCTCAAAATCAGTTTCATATCCTATGGTCAACTCTTGTATAGTTATACTTAACATAGCCTCTTAACAGTTTTAAAATTTGTGTATCATAAAACCTAATGTCTGTGCAAGTATTTTAATTGAGTCAATATTTGTGAAGCGCTTCTGCCTTTACTTATGGACATGTTAATGTTAAGGGTGACCAACAGGAATCTCTGGTGCTTCACTTTAGCCATAAACCTTTTGAAACTGTTGCAACTGTATTGTAATGGCCACATTTCTACAAAGGCAGTATGAATAATATTTCAAAACAAAAAAAAACAAAGTTCATGTACTGTTAGTTACCATACTAGTTATTGATTTTTCTCACTCTTTAAAAAAGAAGTATTTTCTACAAAATTTTGTCAATCATGTAGCACATCAACAATTTACTCTTTGACCCTGTCATTCACAATAGTAAGTCTACTATACTTCCTAATTCATTCCATGCTCCAGTTCCCAGCAGCAGCTTGTCTCTCTTCTCCAGGGCATACTGATTTTCAAGGAATCTGCGTTTCTCTATTACCAATATTCTATGACATTTTCTTATGTAGTCAGCATCTCATTTGTTCTTCTAGCTCAGAATTTCCCTAGTTTCATGTCTCAGGATCCTCAGGATCAGAAATAAACCTCCTTAGCTCTTCTCCAGAGTGGGAACTGCAATGCCAATAACATAAAAGAAAATTCTGAACTATTTTTCTTCAGTCAATTTGCAGCTGTAGGGAACTCACAGAAAAACTCTGGAAGTAACAGTCAAGATAAATTTATCCAGCACATAGTTGATTAAACCACTCAGACTTTTGGAAACTGCTTTTGGCTGCTTTTAAATACATGATTTATTAAAACCATTTTGCTTCTAATACCAGAGTGTACCTCTCCTTTTGTAAGCAATCACTATTGGATGAAGAAACATTGAGGCCAGCCTTACTGCTGCAGACTAAATGTTCCCAGCGTCAGTGTGCAATAATTTAGAATTTTTACTCTGTACAGCTACTGTTTCAGACCATTTCCTCCCTTACTTGCATGCCTTTAGCAGTTTTTCAAGTAATTTCCGTGGAGGAGGAGGAAACTGAAAATGTCTCTAATAAGCTGTAATTTAATAATCAAAAGTTGGGGAATTTTAAATTTACGAAATTTGGAGATCAGCACCTATAGACTCTTTTGAAAGGCCTATGGATGTTTGATGAAGAAAACTTCTTTCAGCCCCTGAGAGAAGCTGAAGAAACTAGTAAAGGTAGAGCTCAGATGAAGGAGCCAAATTCATGTGGAGTTTGAGAATCTCTGTGCTTCACCTGAATTTGAGGCTCCTCATGGGTTTACAAGAGCCTTTCGTAAATGGGATGGTAGGATGGTTTACTTCAATGTTTGGCTTTTTTTTCATTTCCTATAACAGTGTAATTAAGGGACCCTTGAGGATTTTCTGAGTGTGTTACAGAGCATACTGCAGCTGCTCTAAAAAGTAAAGTGTGGGTTTTAGGTAGTTGCAAATCTTGTGGTCAGAGACTCAGCCTGCTGATTATGAACAATCTGAAGTGGGAGTATCAAACCAATTTTCTTTTGTTCAGAGGTCTGCACAACTCAACACAATGACTCACACAAAGTGAAATAAATAAGTACTTGTAAAAAGCTGGAAATTAGAGCTGAATTTCTAAACCTCCCATCTCTGAGAAAGGCAGAATGAAATCTGGTGTCAGGGACAAAACAAGAGGGAGAGTTCTGATGTTTCATGCTCTGTGCTACTGTGACAGCAGGATACAGTCTCTCGCCCTGGACACAACTGATGGAGAGCCAGGGCTTGCATGTAGAAATAAGTGAGGAGCAGAGAGAGGAGCAACTGATTGTTCCCGTGATCCTGTAGGCAGGATGAAGTACAGCTTTGGAAGTAATCTGTTCTTTAACAGCAAATACTATTAAATGGAGGAGTAAATAGGCAAAAGAAGCTGTTACCATAAAGCTGAACTGTTGAAGAACCTCCTTCATGCTGACTGAGCCACCTCTTCATATTTTGCAAAAGAAGTAAATAAAATTCCAGGTGTTGTAGTACTTTTATTTTAAGGTGAAGTAAACCCAGAACACAGATAAATTCCAGATAGATACATATGTAGCCTTTTGGTCAAAGTTTAAGTTCACGATAAGCTAGAATGTATTGCAAGCCTGTCACGGTACAGACTACTTATCTTTGTGTTCCTGCATCACAGATGTCATAGAAGGAAAGTGAGCCCTGAACTAGCTTTTATTTGGTCTTACATCTTCCATCACAGTTTGGTAAGATGCATACAGGCCCTTTGGATTTTTGGGTCACAGCTCAGAGCAGTCCTGACAGTCACGGTGGGGACTATCTCCTCTTTTAGACAAACATCCCACTCACAACTGATCAAGAAAAACAGGGGGAAAACAAAGCATTTTAGTACAGGTAGAATTTTAGAAATCTGTAAATTCAGTATGGCATTCAGATAGAAAAGATTTTATCCATGTATCTATTTCTGTCAGTTCTCTTACTGCATTTTTAGCATATCTTCTTGAAAATGACTGCTTTGTGCATTTTTTTGTCAAATTAGTGCCAAGTGTTCACAAGCAGTAAGAGAGACTAGTGAGAAATTTTGGAAAAAATTCTTTGAACGATAAGGATATATTAGAAAAAAAAAAAGAAAAAAAAAGAAAAACTTAAGCTGAGTAGTGAATTTGTATTTCTTACAGTAATATCTGAAGTTTCCTTAATCCATTCTTGGTGAGTCTTTAGTGGTTTGTGAGCTCTGCATGACTGGACTGAAACCTATACAATAAATTGAAAGTTAAAAAAGGTCATTGACAGGAAGCTCCAAGTGTGGTCTAAGGAGTCCCAAGACAAAAGGTTACAAACAAAAAGGTAGTGTATAATCTCTGAGTGGCACTGTCTTGATGTCTGATTTCAGTTTAATTGCATAAAACTCTAATCTTCAGAATCACACTAAGTTTAACTCACAAATTCAGAAGCTTCTTTTGAGTTCCTCTTGCAAACTTGGCTCTGTCAGAAAACCTCTCCATTATTCAGAATAGTTGGCAGCCTCTCAATAAAAGGGGCCCAGAACTGGCAGAGCAAAGGGAATTCAGGTCAGAGAGAAGGTCAGCTGATCCCTCCACAGAAGGTTATATAGTGTTTGCTCCAACAGGCTCAAATTCCTGCTCTGACTCCTTCATCTGCATCCCAGTGACTAAGAATTGGGGGAAAAAAAAAAAAACAGGGAAATTAGGTAAAAGTTTATGCTGAACTTATAAAGCTGGGCCAAAATACTCTTGTACCTACTACTTGCTTTGTTCTAGTGCTCAAGAGCTATTTCTAACCTAGATGGCACAGTTAGACTGTAGCTGGTACAGTTAAACTAGTCATCAACACAAATGCCAGTTTATTTTCCATGATGACCTTAGCAGTCCTTGGGGACTCACTGTGCTTTCCATTGTTTACACAGAGCTCTGGGCTGCTTTTTCTTAGCACTCCAGCAAGACTCAGGAGAACAGAACATGCTTTATCTGTTACTGATAAACAGATGAAACATTAGTTAGGATTTACCAAGCATAAGGTGGCCTAAAAACCAACCCTGTAAAAAGGAAAGAAGCAATAATTCAAAGATTGCAAATAATCATCAAACTAGGCTGTTTTTATATTGCTTATTATGAGTTTCTGAATAACAAGTTATGTGTCAAGATAAACAGAACTACAAAATGTGTGTAGTATGCAAAAGCCTGTCTGAGAAAGCTATTTTTAATAATATTGTTCTAACTGTGGTTAAAATAGTGATCTTGCAATAGATATTACTTATGTTTTGTTCAAAACAAAGTATATGACTATAAAAAATCATATTGTATATGCATTGGGTCTTTCCGGTGCAAGTCTTTTCCTTATGGGATTTCAGTGAATCATGCAAAAGCTCACATTAAGTGATGCTTTAAAAACCAGTGCAATAGTTACTTGCAATCTCCATATCATATCCTTTCCCTGCTTTTAATATTAAGCAGAGAGCCTCTGGCATTCACTGCTGAATAGCTACTATTCTCATGATTTCAGACACTGTAGGAATTCATTACATCTCGGCTAAATTATATAAATCAGATTTAGAAAAGTATGAACATTTTTAAATACAGTGCTGTACTAGTTTAACTAAAGCGGTTTAAAACCTGATTTTTAGTTTTTGTATGTATATTTATGTATGTATCTGGATAGCATTTCTCAAGTGCTTAGGGTTACCTTTAAATGTGACTTTACATCACTTGGATGCTTGGGCATATTTTGAAAAGCTACTTAGGATTTGATCCAAAACTATATACTATATGGTATCAACTTCAGTTTTGCAGAATATAAATTAGCACATGGATCTCTAAACGGAATTCAGAAATACTGATGAATTAAGTTAGGCTAACCATTCTGTGACACCACTAGAAGAGCAGACTCTCCACTGTCCTGTTGTTTGGTTTGGTTTGACTTCCTATGTCTGTTTTAAACTTCATTTCTTTCTTTCTTTCTACTTTTGAGGTTGCATTTTTGATGTTCAAGTTCGTACCAGCATCAATCAAGGGTTTAAATCACCAGGCTCTCCAGAAGGACATCCCAATTCTGGTCGCAATGTTGGACAATGTAAAGATTCCCCATGCAGTTTAATAAAATGCAGAAATGGTGGGAAGTGCATAGAAAGTGGCTCTACTGTTTAGTAAGTATATATATATACTTTTTTTTAGAGTACAAAGTAGACTGACGTCTAGACTAATAACTACAGTAATTTTGTGTGTTGATAATAGAAAGAGCCTAATACAGAGAGAGAGAGAACCAAAGAGGGAAAGAAAAAGAGAGAAAAAGAGATGAACTGGTTCTGCTTCTCTGAAGTGACTGGCATCCAGACTTACTATGAAATTCATGGGAAGAATTAGATGTGTGACAGTTTTTTAAAACAAGTGAGCGGTAAGGTAGCAGAGAAGAAGTAGTGAAGAGGAGAGCTTGACTGTCGTAATGTCTGAATGTGGTTGATGGGGCAAAATAAGTGACCTCTGTTACCTGAAAAAGAACCCCCTTTCTGGAGTAAAACACTGACTGCCTGACATCAGAAATTTCTGAGACAGTTTAAAACTGTAGAAGCTTCAAACATTGTTTGAACTACATCAATTCATCAGACAAGCTGTTCACATGGCTGATCTATGGAATAATAGGTGGTAGCAATGACAGCTCGCCCAGAAGTCAAGTCTGTGGTCTTTCCTGCCTTGTCACTAAATGTAGATGGATCTAAGTGCCCAAGCTGTAAGGCATGGTAAAGAATGAAGTACATTTGCAGTTCCAAATTGCTGTTGTGTGTCAACACTTCCATTGTAATAAATCTTGTTTTCAAACAATTTGTAACACAGCTGTAAAACCTTTGCTGATGAGCAGTTTTTATTTTAAAAATATCTGCCAAGATTAATTATACTTGCTTCCCCTCCTGTGCTTTCACGTGTGTTCATTTATTTACGCACATTTGCAACATTTTTTTAGAAAGAGAAAAGTGCTGATTTGAAACTTCTGAAGACACAGACTGAAAACACTGCAGATAACAAGACAGATTAGGATGAAGAAAACCAGGCTTCACACCGTGGAGCCTCTGTGTATGATGCTTCATAAAACAACAAAGACCTGTCCTTCTGTGTGCTGCAAAAAAAGTTTGCATACCTGTCAAGCTAAAAATATTCTACTGACTCTGTATTGGAGAGAGAATTACAGGGTAATTGGTTTTGCTGCCATGACACAAATCACCTGTAAGAGAACCACTACACAACTAGTGCTTCTAAAGCTAGTAAGGCCATACCAAAATTTGGAAAATTTACCCTGAGATTCAGCATACAGTTTCCTCCTTGTTCCCTTTATGAGCATATTTATATTCTCCTTGAAAGATATAATTTGGGATTGCTTTCCAATTGTTGAGCTGCAGTATGTCTCAACTGTCCCAACTGCATTTTGCATGATCCTGCCAGAGTTAAACCCTTACATTCAGAGTCTTTGATTTTTCTAAAGAACAAGAAATGATAATGGCCCTCTTTACACTTCCGAGGATATTAGAGGAGATACACAACCAAAATTGCGAGAAAAATAATAAATATCATAAATGTCAGCTGAAGCATGCCCCTTCCATTCAACTCCCTAAATCCTTGCTTCAGCAGCTTATCCAGACATGCTAAGACACCTTAATGTCTATAAGGGACACAGAACCACCAACAGCACCATGTAAACCACATTTGGAAAGCAGATGGCAGGCTAGAGTGACAGCTGGTGACATGAAAACATTGATATTTGATATTATAGGCAGAGTTCTTTTTCATCATTACAGTTTAATAATTTGTATTCCAAATCAGTTTAGGGATTGTTATAAAATTTGTGGGCATTCGGGGGTTGTAACTGGTCTTTTCTAGGTTTTGTCTGTTTGTTTTTAACTTAAAGTGACCTGCTACTGAATTATATTTCTGTCTTCGTATTTCAGACAGCAAGGCCTTCACATGCTATGTGTACGTGCATGCACATGTCTCTCATAAAAAAAAAAAAAAAAAAAAAAAAAAAAAAAAAAAAAAAAAAAAAAAAAAAAAAAAAAAAAAAAAAAAAAAAAAAAAAAAAAAAAAAAAAAAAAAGTGAAACATTGCCAAAGAGGTGTGGATATAGTTTACATATAATTTCTATCAGTGCGCAGCAGCTATCAATACCATCTCACATTTTCTCAGAGGGAGCTTCCTTCTCTTTTAAAATCATCGGTGTTCCTTTGAAGAGTAGAGTCCTTGAGGGACTGGATTTGCGCTCAAATATTTTTTTCTCCTGAAATAAAATCTCTCCAGAGGTTTCTGTTCCTATTTTGAGCTATTTTTATGTCCTGCTTTCATCACCCTGCCAGAAATTGTGCAATGCTCTTAAGCTGTAGATTCAGTTGCTATAGGGATAATGCTTTGATTTAAATAAAACCAGAAATACACAGAATTAAACTTTACATTCTGGCCAGTAACAGAGCACAATTGCTATGTTTTAATAAAATAAAGGGGAACTATTTTATTAATAAAATGAAAAATCTGTTTTTCAAGGGACAATAATATTCCCCATTATTTTATTTATGACACAGAATCACAGAAGATAGAAAACCATATATAACAAGATTGCCTGTGATGTGTTATCACATCAGCTGTGTTATCAGCAACTGCTTGTTGCTGAAGTAAGAGAAAAAGAGTGTCTTGTGTGCACTTTGAGCAGAACATCAGACATAATGGAGAGGATTCAGTTTGCTAAACGTAAGCACATAGTGTCACTTCAGATACCCCTGGGTAGACTGTTTGGCCATCAGCTGCTGCTTCAGAAGAGCTTAGGACTTGCATAAGTCTTGTGTTGTATCTCTAAGCCTCATGTGGGTTTCTCAGTACTCTGTAGCTTTCAAAGAGCATCGGCCACTCAGGTTTAGGAAATTAAATCATACCTCTATATGGCAGAGGTACATCCCATAAAATGAGCTGTTGTAGTCTCATTATTAGGCTAGATTCAATTAGAACAAATTTTCAATGCCCATTTTACATATAGACTCCTAAATTCAGGTGTCAGAATGCGCAGAGCTGAACTCCTCCTTATTTGTTTGATTTGACACCATATTTGCATAACCATAGAAAGTTCCGTATTTGTTAGCATTGAGAATGATATTTTAAACATGATAAATTGAATGTAAAAATACTTTTTGTTTAGATTAGGAAACCACACTGGATTAAGCAAACTTTCCAATTCTTCACAAATCTTTTAGCACCTTTAGTTATATTTTAGAATTTGTTAGTTATATTTTTAGAATTAGTAAGGTTCAAGAAATGCTTCTGGTTTGACTAGGATTTTGTGTAGTAATACGGAGACATATTTCTTACATAGTTTGTAAAATAAGATTATTTTGCAATAATTTTTTTAAATGCATAAATTTTTATATTAAAAAAAATTATGTTTTGTCCATAACCAACAGCGACATACACTTATTGTCCTTGCTTTTTTAGAAACTGCGTTACTTGTTTGAGATCTAATTTTGGCTTTGGTAAGGGACTTTGAACTTGGAAAACCATTCTATGAATATTACATGACACTGTTAAGAATCTGACAAGACAACAAGAAGACGACGACATTAAATTAAACCACCCTTGAACTTCCTATATACAACTATTTCAGAATTTGAAGTGGTATCTGAAATTTCCAGAACTGAAAGTGAACTTCTGTTATATTTCGCTGGGATATGTAATTTGAGAGTTCTTGCTTCCTAAACTGGCTGACTGCCATGTAAAAGCTGTGAAGGACACCCTATTAAGTGTGTACTTAGTAAGAGTCCTTTGCAAAAAACTTGAGGATTCAAGGTTACCCAGTTTGTTCTCAGACACACTATTAAAGTTGTGAAGGAAAGACTTTCTACCCTTTCCCACTTAAAAACATGATTTAGAAAAAGTAAGACATGTTTTGGCAGTTATTCTTGAGAAACTGGAGTATAGAAGAATTAATTTAATTCATGTTCTTCAAAAAGCCTGAAAATACAGAAGTGTTTTGCAGTAACATTTAGCTCCTAGGACACATAAACTCAGAGTATCTCCAGCTGAGCTAAGCATATAAGATCCCATCACAATCAGTGGAGGTCCAAGCTCTTCCAGTTGTCTAAACATTGGCATTCTAATAGCAGAGGTCTTGGGATACCTTTTCTGGTCTTCATAGCGTGTCCAGAAGAGCACAAGTCTTCTGCAGTTCTTCTGTTTTATCTGCTAGCTTCATACATCTCTTAGATACACCACGTATCAGATGGCAGATACCATAAGTCTCATGGCATTAAATGAATGCAGGACCTTATCTTCAGAGTCATGCATGTGTTATTTGTAGGATGAATGGTGCTCCAGTTCCTGTGACTGTTTCAGCTGGATACCCACTGATTGCCATATGAGCTCAGGCAGCTACTTGAGGATCCCATTTCCTAAATTTGAGCAGTGATCTCCATCAGAAACTTATCTTGCTGATCTCAAACTGCTTCTCTCATATATCTGTAAGAAGGCAACTGGAGGCACCTAACGTAACATAAAATTAGCTGTCTTGATCTCAGAATGAATCTTGCCTCTTACCAAAGAAATACCAGAAGTGTCTGGATGATGCTCTACTTTTAGGTAGTTCTACAAGAAGCAGGGAGTTGGACTCAACAATCCTTATAGGTCCCTTCCAACTCGAGGTATTCTGTTTTGAAATGAGTCTTTAAATCCCTGAGAATCAAGGCACTAGTGATGTTGCAAGCTTATTAGGTTCTCGTGGTCTGGAAAAACAACAAGCAACCAAAAAGATATAAACTAGACCAGCATGACAGGCCACATGATGGGAAGAATGTGACATGCTGCCTCTTCTTCTATCCCTCTGAAGATTAGGAAATTTTGGATCTAAACTTCTCAACACCACACAAACTTGCTTAGGAGTGTTTCGTTTGTTCATAGACCATTGCCACTGTAGGCCAGCAAACATGTTCAGCTCTGTGCAAATAGTTTTCAACTCATTTAAAAGCTTTTGCTAGGTCATGAAACAAAAGAATTAAAAGAAATTTAGACAGACATATGCAGACACAAGCAAGGGAAAGGGGAAGAACCCTCACATATGCTGCCCAACAGCAGTAGCTTCAGCTCCAAACACCCTGTCTCACAGCCTAAGAAAGGGAATTGTTTGCACTCAGGACTATTTGCACTCAGGGAGTTAAATTACTTCACCTTCTCAGTAGCTTTCATGCCTCAAAGCATAACATTTATAGCTGAGACAGAAAGCATTCTGACACTGACTTTGATGAATTGAGGTGTTTTTGCTTTTGCAGGGTCCTGTCCTCTTTTTCCCTTCTTTCCGAATAGCTGTTTATCACTCTGAAGAGTTTGTTGGAGGTTTTGTTTACATGTTGTTTGATCTGAAGGCAGAAGTTTCATAGGCTCCTTATTATCTTTTATCCAAAAACAGTGAGGTGATTAATGGAGGAAATGTAGCTCAGTGAGTTCAAAGAAAAAGTCAAGATTTTGCACATAGAAAAAAACCCCAAAGACTGGCTAAGAATCAATCAAAATATATGAGATTTCATTCTTAGCCTTGAGAGAGAAACCTTCCAGGAAAAATCCATAAGTGCTTTTATTCAGGGGAAAATTTCTTCTATCATAAAATGTTACTAAATTCTAAAATACAAATAGGTCTAACAAATTTCAACTCTTTAGTAAGGAGGGTATTCTTTGTGCCAAGTGTATTCTGCATTTAAAAATTTCTCTAAAATTCATACTGATTTTAATTTAGATGTTAATGTGATTTTTTTGTCTGTGTGTTTCCCTGACCTGGATGAAAGAAAGGCATAAAGAGTAGCAGACAACAACAATTCCAGTGATTCAGTCTGTTTAGAGAATTTGCTTATGCTGTAGATTTACAATCATAGATACGTGAAACTCAGATTGTCGCCTCTTTCATGGTTGGACCCACTATTCTTTTTCGACCAAGTGCTTCAACAAACCTACTTCTAATGTGCCAGTTATAAGAATTTATCAAATTAATCAGTGAAAGGCAGTTGCTGACAGACTTCTGTAAGTAGTTAAAATTTCAAACAGGTAGCAATTTCACATATGCTAACATCTGGTTTTATTTTTGTGGCTGCTCTTAGCTGCTTACCTTTTCCCTTTAATGTTCACTTAAACTCCTTCTAAATTATGAAGCCAAGGCCTTTTTGAGTTATTTATAGAGCAAAACACACAATAAAAAAAAAAACACCTACAAGCCCTTCTTTTTTTTCAACAGATATTAATATTGTAATCTTAAGATGCAAAATAAAATGTTTCCTATTAAGTACATTTTTATAATAAAATGAATACACAAAAAAGTTGAATGAGGAACTTTTCTGTTAACCAGTCTGGATCATATTATTAAACACAGGTAACTAAACTTGCAAATCTTGATTAGATTGTTACTGACATATTGATTTCTTTTGATAAAAATATTGAATTCTTTCCTCTCACTTACCCTCCATAGCTGTGACTGCCTCTCTGGATGGAAAGGTGCATTTTGCACAGAAACAGTGTCAGTATGTGAACCTGAGCATGATCCTCCACATCGGTGTAGGCAAGGTGGTACCTGTGTGCCACTGCCTAATGGTTACACATGTCACTGTCCTCTTGGAACAACTGGTACCTACTGTGAACAAGGTATGTCAAACGGATGGTGCATTCGACAGTTATGGGATAACGCATAGACATAGAATCACAGTATTTTGCAATATATTGATTAAATGTGACAGGGACACAAAGTACAAAACAGATTTTGCTTACAGAAAGTGAATTTAGAAGTAATTTCAAGCTATGAATTTTTAGATATTGTTTTCGTACTCTTCTCCTTTTTAACACCATTTTTTCCTTCCATTTTTTCAAATCATTCAACCACATTCACAGGCAGTGTGGACATGATTTGTTAGATACCAAGGGGAAAGGAAGCATTGCAGATAAATGTCATAGTGCTTAGTTCAATTCCCAAGCTCACCATAACAAAGTATGATGAGAAATACACTTGAGATGTCAGCACTACTGCAGAAAGGGGAAGCATCTGGGACCTTATCTAATTTCTACTGATGCTAATGGAGATGCTCCTGATGACTTCACTGGCTATTAGGTAGGAAAGCACAGATAATGATGACAAAAGATGCCAATAGCATGGTAAAAATCTTCAAGTGACTATTCTCCCTAGCTTGCTTTCAACATGTCACCCTCAAAATATGTCCTCAGTTTGCAGGTTTTGCATTTCTTACCCTTATGTATAGGAATCCTTTGTCTGTTCTCTTCTCTGAGACATTAAACAAATGAATATTCAACAATGTGGAAACAAACACATGTGCTACAAGCTCAGGGACTTTTCCTGTAAATGAACAAAGTGTCCTGAGTGTAAGGACATGCAGTACAGTCCGCACCCTCTACTTCTCAGCTCTTAGATTCATGTCAGTATTGTACAGGCTTATGTTTTTTCTTTGAGAAACTCTCTGCAGAACTTTTGGAGAACTTCAGTTGCTATTAAATAGCCCACTTTCCAAACTGCTTGTCAAGGTCCAGCCTCCCTTGTTGTGCGAGCTGCAAGCACAAAACTGAGAAGCTGAACTGCATCTGACCTGATTTGCAGTCCTCACACTATAGATGGATAGTTTTAAAATCCCATTACATTTTGAATGAAAAAGAATACAGCTTCTGGAAAGTCATTGTTAAGTTCCTTATTCCATGTAAGACTGTGCTTGCTTTATTGCCTCTGCTGCAACAGCTGTTCAAGGCTCTTTCTATGAACTTTTCAACTTTGAATTCTCATTTCAAGTGAGGTTTCCAAAAGTGATGCCATCTGGATCCAGGATACTGATCACCAGGACATGTGCTATACATAAAGCAGGTGATTAATCAGGTAAACTCGCCTGTGTTCTGGTTTCAGAATAGATTTGGATCTTCTTATGATAGGCACTATTATCAGTAAAAATAGTTTATATCTGAGCAATAGAAAATTGTATTTCTTGTAAATTGTCTTCCTTTTAGTAATTCCTCCACCTGGTAAACACATTAGAGGTTTTCTCTGTTTTATTTAAAGGACTACTTCTTTTTATGAATAGGGACTATGGATCCTGACCAAACTCTTTGCCCTGTATTTCACCTTACTCTGGCAGAATAATGAATTATCATGGGAGTTTTCAAAGAGCATTTTGCTCTTTTAGTGGGTGGCAAATTGCTAAAAAACAGCTGCTTATCAAGATTGAATACCTTATCTCTGGATTAATGGTGGTTATTGGAGCCAAAAGAAAAAGAGACAGAGAGCAATGAACAGCCCAAGGGACCAAGAGAAAACAAAGGGTAATTAAATGATGGAGACTAATGAATGTTCAAGAAGGAAGGAAAAAAGTGTGGAAAAAAAAGACAGAAGAGATTTATGAGGCAAAAAAGAAGCAGAGTAGAATAACAAAGAGGGCTTCAACAAATAATTGCAACTGGAAAATACAATACAACAGTATGGATTGCACAGGAATAAGTCAGGTGAAGTGAGTAAATGGGGCATTAGGGGTAGAACCACACTAATACAGAATAGTACTCTGACCACAAATATTAAGGGTACTTAGAAACAAACTGGAAATAATAAAACAATTATGTGCCTAGAAAACACTAAAAATGTTCTAGGTTCTTTATGAACTATGTACATGAGAAATGAGAGATGAAAGCATATGTACAGGTGAAGATGAAACTGTTCTTAACCGTGATGTGTCCTGCTTAGAGCATCAGCTCAAACCACCAAGGATGCAAGGACTGTCAGCACAGAGATACAGCACATTATGGTTAAACTTTACATGTCTGAACTGTCCTAACAAGTGTTCAGTAGCTGGAAAACTAAGAACAAGACTAAACCCATGGAGAGCAAGATCAGTTAACACAGTTTTCATGACACATATGGTCTGAAATTCACAGTGCTTGCTTGATCATCTCACAATGATCATTGCCAAAATGTAAATACTGAGCAATAGTCTCGGGAGGTTGCAGTAAGATGTGTGTTAAATCATATATTTTAGAGGAATTAGAAGAATCAATCTACTTGATAAAGAGATAGTAGCAGTTTCAATTACTCTGCATTTTCTATAGGCTGTACACAACCAACTAATATTCAGCAAGTAATGCACAGGTATTTTGTAGTCTGAAATGCTGAGGGGAAATATTTCATAGTATACTTGAACTTGCCAAAGCAAGTGCCAGGACTTGCTTTTCCAGGAGAAAGATCAAGAGGTTTAGCAGGTAGGAAGAAGCCTGTGAAATTTAAGACCAGCTTTGGAAAGGCAAGCACCCATAAGGAATACTAGGAAAAGCAGAGAGAGATGTAAATTAGATCTGAATGGGTCTTGTCAGGCAAGGCAGAGTAATACACTTACTTAAGAATAATTTCAAGCTCCGCTTCTTGGGTGTACTATGTTGACCAGACCTGTTAACATTCGTAAGACAGGATGCTTCTTCAAGAGTGTTGGGTTTCTAAAGTTAACACTGGTGTAAACAAACAAAAAAATTAATAATTTATACTTCCAGAAATAAAAGTAGTTGTAATGAAATGGGAAGGAAATGGAAGATTAATACAGGAGTCTTTTTTACTTAGTGTTAACATTGCCATTTGGACTCAAAGTATTTTCATGTTTGTGGCACATGAAACAGCAAAGAATGCTGTTGCACTGGTTTGAAAATGTCACAGCTGTGACAGTAACACAGCAAAGACAGTCCAGTTCCTGAAGTGCATAAATGACAACCAAACATTGGCAGGATTAGGTATATGGGGGAATTAGTTTATTCTAGGTTTTTTTAAAAAATAGTTGTGTTTTCCACAACAACAAAATATGATGCTAATAAAATATTTTGTTCATTTGATTCAAAGTTTGCAACTGAAATACCACTCTAAATTGTCTTCTGGTTAAGAAGTGAAGCCTTAACCTGAGCAGCATATAATTCAAGTATTTCATTAACACACAGTGTTCAAAACCAACAAGAGGTTCCAGTTCCCAGTACTTTGTCTGGGGAGTCTCCTGCATGACTTTGCACACCACATTCCTGCTTATTCCACTTGTATTAATGAATACCTTTGTACTTAGATCTCTCAAACAGCTTCTGAAGAGGGAGAAGTCTCTAAGGACCCGGTTGTTTAATTCTCCTGAAAGTATATAGTAGACCTATTGGCATCAGCATGACCACTACACTGAGAAACAGTGACCAAGATAAATGTCAAGGATGATTCTTCCTGAGGAATAAGAAACAGTCTAAAACGCTTTTGCTGCAGATAGTTTGATTTGCTGGACATTGTTATTACATTTGTGAATACAATATTTTTCTTATATTTAGCAATTACAAGAAATGCAAACTTCAAAAATACAGACATTATCCATAATGCCTGTCTGCAATTATATTCTGATCTCTACTAAATTCTATCTTAGCAGCCTATACCTCTGATAAGAACAGTGTCCCTGTGTGAGGCTGGTAATCCTGTCTCCAGCAGTAGACAATAATGAAGTTTTAAAGTAAAAATAAATAGAGCAACTATATTCGACATCTCCCTGAAGTACTCTTCTAGCATCTAAACATTTGTGCCTTTTTTATTTATTTATTTATTTATTTATTTTTCTTGCCACTTATTTTAACTGATTAAATCAAGTCTCTCATCTTGGCATAAACAGTATCACTAAAGGTAGGGAAAAACTTGAGCAAAAATAAATTTGAAGACAATGAAGTTTCTCTGACATTAAGCATTGATATGTATTTACACATATGATAGAACTTCTCTAGGTACTAAGTGTATTTATTTCCTAGATAATTTTGTAGAGGAATTAAGAAAACCTGCAATACCAGATTAGTTAACTGGAAATTTCACAGACCTGATAATGTTCTCATTTAAGGGGGCAGCGATGTAATATTTGAAAGATTCTATAGATGGCACTATTGGAGAAGACTTGCCAGTGGAGAAAATAAACATGGTTTTCATATCAATATTTCTATACATTTTAAATTATTCAATCGTTTTCTCTAGCAGGATTAGTTTTGTGACACATACATTTATAAAATCTATTAAAATAATTTTTCTTGACTTCAAGGCATGATAATAAAATGCTACTGCCTTTTTCAAAAAGAAATGAGTTAATAAATAGATTTCTTCAACTATATATTAGTCTCCGAATTCCATAGCTACAAATACTGCCTGTCAACATACAGCTCTTGAAGAACTGAAAGCAAATGTAAAGAACTTTTCATTGTTCTGTCCTTGATTTAGTGAGATACTTGTCAAGCAATAAGGCCATTTCCTTGATGAACAAATGGCAAACAACTTCCTTGGGCCATATTGATCAGCTCAAGTCAACTTTCTAGATATATTCTGACATCAAATTCCATTATTCTGATACAAAAATACAGCAAAATTTTTGATAGTACCTGAAAAACCGACAGAAAAGAAAAAAAAAAGTAATGACAATTCTATAACTATTTAATCCATCTTCACAGTCACGGTGAATGAATGAAAAATAGAAAACTGACTTTTGAAATTATTTTAGTTATAAATATCATTTTCTTTCTACATAATCCAGAATGTTACTTGACATATTTTGACTGCTATTGTAAGACAGATTAATTCACAGTATGATCTAGCTCAAGACTTGACACACACTGAA